GTAGTAGTAGTAGTAGTAGTAGTAGTAGTAGTAGTAGTAGTAGTAGTAGTGGACAATATACCACAGGCCACCGGACTAACCGTGAAGGTCCGTGAGGATAATACGTTTGTCATAACTGGCGGAGAGCAGATAGTAGTCATTGGGGGCGAACCGGACACTGCGAATCTCGCTGGAGTGTGGTCGATAGGCACTAATGTAACGAGCACCACGGATGTCAAACAGAGAGATGGTGGCATCCTCATGGCTGCCAGCCAGGACGTTACCACCGGGTTCCATGCTTACTGAGGCGAATGGGCTGCCTACACAGAAAACAAAATTATGATACTTGGATGTTAATATATACATATGGGTGAGTTTATGATTACTAGGAACAGACCGTAGCCCGTGCTATTTGGAATATTCGTCGGGGGCCAAAACTGGGTTTATTATAACTCACAGGCACAGTCGGGTTGGTTATTCCTTCATCAAATGGGCATATAGAGCTTCGCAAACATTTTAATCTCATTACCACCCATCGATGAACACGGCTGAGGATCTCGACTCTTGTTCGGCTCAGTTTACTCGAGGGAAGCTTAGATGTGTACCTTTTAACTCCCTATTTATTGGCACGCAATGTATTTATATATAAATATAAAATTAACATTAAAAAATACAAGGTAATGTATCAAATCTGTGCAGATAAACGAACGATCACTAGTATTAATGGTAGAAGCATATATACACTTTTTCATGCGTAACATAGTAATTGGTTTGAGTTCAGGGCTGCTACAGAGAAACAAGTACGCTCTCGAGTGTCTGAGGATGTAAAAGTGAATGTTAGTAAGCATAGGCAATAAGTTGGATGCCGTAAAAAGTTTCATAAATAAATGTTACTGAAATATAGCAAGTAAATAATAAGTTGTTCATGCTGGCATCAAAACACACCTCCTCTGTCAATCGCTGCGAGAGGCAGGTGATGTCCTGCCTTTCCCACGCACTCGGTCGACTGGCTTTCTGAGGCGCACCTTACTTCGAACCAATCGATGCGCGCCGTGCCACCTAATTGGTCAAAGACACACTCCGCACTCAGGGCTTCGCAACAGCGG